GATATTTATTTTTTATTCGATATTAAATGATATACAATTAGCTAATATAAGATATCTATTTTAAATAATCCTATTTATCTTTTGCAATAAACTATTATAAAAAAACAAATGATAACTAACTTTTTTTTAATTAATAAATAAATTTTGTTGTAGTTAAATTTGATTAGTCAGTTATATATGATTTTTGTATAACTAAATGATCTAGAATCATGTAATCAACATTTTTTTCATATAAGATATGATCTATACTGACCATATTTGGCAAATCACTGACTATATTAATAAACTAACAAATTATGATTGGTGGCAAAAAATTAAGAATTATTATTAACATCAGTAATAAATTATTAATGTTGGCAAGGGTGTGACAACTTAGTGAAATAGTTAAGTTGTCATATGCCCAAGTAGTATGTTGAATAGGTAGAGAGTTTGAAACCTACTAGTGATGAATTTCGAAAATTCTATTTGTATAATACTACTATCTTTTGTTGATCAGTTGAAATGAGATCTCTGTAACCTTGGTGGCACCAACAAGATTGAAAGATCATACGGCATTTGTGCAATGTATGAGTTATACAAAAAAGTTCTCAGATTGTAATAAATTCAAGAAACTGAGAAGATTGGATATACACTTGGCAAAACTCGAATAGAAAAGTAGCACAAATCTTTGACGGTATTACATAAAGGACTATTACTAGAAAAGTGATATCTGAACAGAACTGAAGTGTTTGGCAAAGCATTCCACTAACCAGGCTGCCAAAAGAGTAACCAGAGGAAAAAGACCCAACCATGAGGACCAGGGTAGGTCACAACCCTTCCGGGTCATCTGGATTGGTAGTTTGGAAATTTAGGAAATTGAAAGATAGTTTGTAAAGTGGGTACTGGAATTTGGGTGAACTTTACAAGGGTAGAAGTAGGTAATGGTAGTGACTTTGACTCGCAAGTACTTGTCCTCGAACTCAGCATAAGTTAATGAAGTCTAAGTTAGCAGGATTGTGAATATGAAAAACTTTAGCAAGTTTACTTTGAGAGTAAATTAGCCCTAGGTTAGAAAGCTTCCTATGACAGGTATTGGTTTCTCATAAGGATATGATGACGCAGAAAGTTTAAATAGATAATCCTCTAGTTGGATTATAGGTATAATATCTAGTGTAGAACCTTCGGGCAGACTACTTAAATAAGCATTAAAAGTTGTACATATGGCTAGTTGTACTCTCCAAAACTATGTACCAAATGAGTAGTGGCTGACTTGATCAGCTTAACACATAAACTAATAAAGACAACTGACCATGAGGTCATTTTGATATTAAAAAAAAAAACATTGACATCAAGTAATTAAAAAACTAATAAATCATATTGTTAAAAATAAAATATCTCATAGGTTTATTAGTATTTTTGATTAATTAATCAATATAAGACCATTATCAAATGTTTATTAATATACATTAATAAAAATTTATCTTATTAGCTGTGTAGTTATTGTATATCCATAATTGCATGTTTCTTTTATTTATTGTTAATAATCATTACTGTTAATAATAAGTATTATTATATCCCGGCGATCAATTATGGTATTAATTTTCGTCGAACTTTTGATCTATTTTGTATTTTATATTGCCGACATAACTGTGCAAGCAATTTTGGGGTCTTATGGTGTAAGGGACAAATTTCAAATAAATGGGGTGACCCGGAGCATAAATTTTATACCAGGTTCAGAAATCTGCACATGTGATAAGCTAAGCCACAAAAAAACATATCAGACCCGGACCAGACATGTTCGCAAACTTCAGACCAGACCCGGACCGGACTCATAATTGAGTTTGAGTTCGGTCCGAAGTTCGAAACTAGTAAAATTTAGAGTTTGAGTCTGGTTCGATCCCGAACCGAACCCGGACCGGACCAGACCCGAACCAGACCTAGGAGCACTAGTCTCTGTATAACGAATTTAACATATATGAAGCAAACTAAACAAATAACATTATTTTATTAAAAAAAAAAAAAGCGAATTAACATTATATTAATAATCCCCCGATCACTATATCAAGATCACGGGAGGATTAATTAATAACGATAATACCCTGACCGTATGCGAATAAACGGAAACTTCGTTTCCGCTAATTCCCAACGGATCAGGACATTATTATTACTAACATGCAAACATCAATTATATTTAATCTTTATTTTGTAAAATTTTAACGCTGATTTCAAAAATAACATTATTCAATGTGGAGGTTAGTTCTTGATTGAAGTCGATTCTTAAATTTTAATAATTGTATTTAATCATTGCCGTTAAAATTAATTTTATGATTGCCCGTGTTGTCTCACTGGTATTGCGCAGGTAGGTTATTATTTTAATATATTTTGCTAGATCCATTCAAATTTTTTATATATATGACTTGACACATGTTTATCTTTCAAGTACCATTTCCATCGTTGATAGCGAACATTACTATGCTCAAGATGATTAAAATTATCTTTTGATAATTAGTATATGCCTCGTCTGTAATACTTTCTTTCATTATCGTAATCGTCATCTCTAACAATGGCGTCTAGTTGAGATAATACTTTTGATAGTATCGTACCATCAGAAAGAATGCTATCGTATTTTTCCTTCGCAAGACATACACAATCAGTAAAATTAATATAAAATGGTTACAGCAAAACGCAGCAATAACAATAACTCAACCATCTATTGTGATTATTATCCTTTGAACTCACCTGTGGCTTATGAGCTTCAAGACTTCTATCGTTCCACTTCTTGTATAGCGACAGTTCTAATGTCTCGCTAACATAACAGATTATGACAATGTAAACGCACATATCATATCATGTGTAATTAAGAAGTCGTTAAAAAAAAACGTGGAAAATTTTTGCACTACCCTAAAATTTATAATATACGATGCATATGTCAAATTTTATAGAAAAAGAGGGTTTAAAGTAGAGAAATTAGTTTTATTAGATTTGGATTCATTTTGATAGATGCGTCATGTGGTTGAATAATCATGATAATCAAATAGTTATTCATCCAGGGTTTAATTTGGGTTCAATTCCAAAAATTTGCTGTGATGGTAATACCTTATTTACTTTGTGACAGTCCTAACTTTTCATAAATCTTCTTCATAAATGATTTGCGGGATCACTGGTACAACTCTTCAATAAAACGAAATAGATGACATTAGAAGACACGTTACAAATAACTCAGTTGATTATGATCCACACATGTTATGATGGGACCTAACGATCCAGACCATAACATACTTCCCACTTCGGGCAAGAAAACATCTTGCCTTCTGCAACCGTAACTGCTCGATAACAACCGCAGGGCACGGTAATATACTCCTATTAATTGAATATACAACTTAATTTTAAAATTTCATCAAGGCAAGTGCTCTGGAATAACCGAGTCTATCGGCTGGAAGGTTCGCAAGAAGTATATTAAGTTCAAAATGCAATGAACGATGTGAATCGTGTTTTGTGTATCGGTTCACTTTTTCAATAAACTATATGTTCTAGTCATTTAAACCGCTTCAATGTTTGGATCACGGTTCCAATATTCTAGAACATGAGTGTGCTGAAATCTGTGATGGAATAATTCCCCCATAATAAATCATTTACGGGATCACTAGTACAACTTTTCAATAAAACAAAGAAAAGAGATAACATTAGAAGACACATTACAAATAATTCAGTTGATTATGATCCACGCATGTTATGATGGGACCTAACGATCCAGACCATAACATACTTCCCACTTCGGGCAAGAAATCATCTTCCCTTCTGCAACCGTAGTTGCTCGATAACAACCGCAGGGCACGATCATAATCTAATTAATGGAGGAGCTACCAACGCATATTATGATGGGACTTGAAGGTCCAGACCATAACATACTTCCCACTTCGGGCAAGAAAACATCTTCCCTTCTGCAACAAAGGGATCAAATATGGTATAAGGGACATCATTAATAAAATCAATTAATCTAGAGTATATTTTCCTTATACTATATTTGATCCCAACAAAAGTTGCTCGATAACAACCGCAGGGCACGGTAATATGCTCCTTAATTGAATAGACAACTTAACTTTTAAAGTTTTCTTCGAGACAAGCGCTCTGGAATAACCGCGTCTATCGATTCGCAAGAAGTATATTAAGTTCAAAATACAATAAACGGTGTGAATCGTGTTTTGTGTATCGGTTCACTTTTTCAATAAAATATAAGTCCCAGCTATTTAAACTGCCCCACATGTTTGGATCACGGTCCCAATATTCTAAAAACATGTGTGATGAAATCTGTGATGGAGATTGTCGCCAACCTTTCATAATTTCTCCATAATAAATAATTTACGGGATCACTAATACAATTTTTCATTAAAACAAAGAAAAAAGATGGTATTAGAAAACACATTCCAAATAATTTAGTTAATTATGATCCACGCATGTTATGATGGGACCTAACGATCCAGACCATAACATACTTCCCACTTCGGGCAAAAAACATCTTGCCTTCTGCAACCGTAGTTGCTCGATAACAACCGCAGGGCACGGTAATATGCTCCTATTAATTGAATGGATAACTTAACTTTTAAAGCTTTCATCAAGGCAGGCGCTCTGGAATAACCGCGACTATCGGCCGGAAGATTCATAAGAAGTATTTTATAACGATTCTTTTTTTGACATTCACTTCCCACTTCTTTACCATTATTGCCTTCCAAATACAATGAATTACGTGAATCTTGTTTTGTGCATCGGTTCACTTTTTCAATAAACTATATGTTCTAGTCATTTAAACTGCTACAATGTTTGGACCACGGTTCCAATATTCTAGAACATGAGTGTGCTGAAATCTGTGATGGAATAATCCCCCATAATAAATCATTTGCGGGATCACTAGTACAACTTTTCAATAAAACAAAGAAAAGAGATAACATTAGA